TCTCTCTCTCTCTCTCTCTCTCTCTCTCCCTCCTCCAGTGTGTGGTGCGAGTGTGTTGCATTCGTAGTTTTGGCCACTTCCTGACAAATCTCCAGGGCAACGTGCTGCACTTCAACCCGGAGGCGGGCATCTTCACCAGCATCAGCCAGTCCGAGCAGGACAATCTGGTGCAACAGGCCAAGGCCCAGTTCCGAATGGTGAGTGACGTCTGAACAGAGCAACCGCAGGGGGTCTGCTTCTAAAAAAAAACTTGTTATGTAACTTCTGACTTAAATAACTGTGAGTGATGTTTCATGAATGACCTGGATTCAAAACACTTTTTACTTGTGTGCAAAGCAAGAGCACTGGACGTTGACTTCCCGTTCTTTATCTTGATTTGTCCAGGCTGAGGAGGAGGCTCGTCGGAATCGCTTAATGAGGGACATGGCTCAGCTTCGACTACAGGTTACTACCCTCTACCCTCTCTGTTCACCCTGTGTGGGTTTCCCTTTGAAACTGAGCAGTAATGCAGCTCAGGCCCGGCTGTGTGTCTGTCATCACAGTCGGCGCTTGGCACATGTGAGGGGTGGAAAATGTTGAAGAAACATTTAGTTTATTCAATAATAGAATATATTCATTTACGTTTGTGCTAGAAGTGATGTTTTATCGCTGGCATTCTCATGAACCAACCAGTCTCCATCTAAATCTCACTAATGTCCTGTGTTGTAGCAGAACCCTCATATATCATCATCATCATCATCATCATCAGCTGCTGAGTTTTTATTTCTGTCCGATCCTTGCAGTTGGAGGTGTCGCAGCTAGAGGGCAGCCTCCAGCAGCCCAAGGCCCAGTCGTCCATGTCTCCGTATCTGGTGCCAGACGCAGCTGCTCTCTGCCACCATCTGAACCTCATCCGACACCTGGCCGGCAGCGGCTGCTTCATTATCATCATCCCGCGGACAGGTCAGTGACTCCTCCTGTGTCTGTGCTCACAAAGATCTGCTCAGGTGTTTGATCTTCGTCTGTGTTGTAGTGATCGACGGACTCGACAGACTGAAGAAGGAAAACCCTGGTGCGAGGGACGGGATCCGCTTCCTGGAGTCTGAGTTCCGCAAAGGCAACAGGTTTGTTTCTGTGCTCCTCACTGTTTACCTCAGGAAACGTTTTCTCCAAACAGCTCCCTGATGTTTATGAATTAATTTTCTTCAGGTACATACGCTGCCAGAAGGAGTCTGGTCGAAGTTTTGAAAGAGACAAACTGAAGCGACAGGACATGGAGGCCTGGTAAAACCTTGCTCGCCGCTCTTCTGTTTGTCCTCTAACACTTTCACTATCTGAGTTAGAGTCTGACTGGTCCTCCTCTGTGTTCCCAGGCATCTGTACAAGATGGTGGACAGCTGTCGCCAGTTAACCGTCTCCCAGAACAACGGAGATGAAGACACAGCCGGCATGGTGACCGTTCTTACCGGCCATCAGGTGGAAGAGCTTTGCACTCGGTCAGCAGCTATGAAGGTCAGTCCCTCTCGGCCGTCTACCATCAAACCTAACGCACTCCAGCTCCCGCAGTGGTGTCCTCATTGTCATAGTTTAACGTGCAACAGGAAGTTATTGTGCCGCAGAAAGAAATGTGACGTAGCATCTAATTCATGAGAGAAAAGTATTTGATTGGTTGTTTGTTTTCTGACTTTGCCAGTCGGCGATGCAGGCGGCGAGCTCGGCGGGCATGGAGCTGAAGAACATCGTGGAGTTCTACCGACAGTGGAAGGAGATCGGCTGAGAGGTCCAAGGGGGGGCAGCTGTCGATGCTGCGAACAGCTGAATCGATCACAACACTCGCTCCCTCTCTCTCTCCCACTCTTTTGCTCTGTGTGTATCTGCGTCTCCAAAAGGAAAAAAAAAAAACAACAAAAGAAAGATGGATCGAAGGAAAAGAGTTAAAGCTTAGAGAGCTGGAAAAGAAAATTCCGCGGAGTAAAAAAAAAATAATAATACGACAGAGACACGCGGGCGAAATGGCGCGATAAGAATAAGAACAGCAGATCTCCCACTTCAAATCCTAAACATAAAGAGTGACCCCTAGTGGCCGGGGTGAGGAAACAGTGGGGGAATTCTACACAACTTTGAAGTGCCCCTGGTTCACACCCTAACCAGGAATACACTGTATATGTTAGCAAACGAGTACATACGTGTCGAGAGAGAAACCGCGCACACACATCAACACACGCTCAGATGAATCATATAGATATTTAGAGCAGTGGTTTGGATTTCTGTTCCCTCCTCCCCTTCCCTTCGGTCTGTATTTGAGAAACAGGGTCATGAATGTGCGAGTCTGGCGGCGCTGCGTTTTGTAAAGTCGAGGGTGTATGAAGTCAGCTTCGAGGTCGAGAACATACACGCTCTGTCCACCTGACATGAGGTTCCTAGCCGTCAAAAACAAACCAGGGGTCTCGTAGCTCATGGGCCGGAGAGGTTGAGGAAGGCAGATGTACACTTCTTCGGAATCGGTTTCTTTCCTACGTGGCTTTTAAAAAAAACATTTGGTTTTGTTTTTTTTTTTCTTTATTTGCAGTGTACCTTTGTGACCAGTGATGTATGTATTGTGCTGTCTCTGTATGAGAAGAGAAAAGGAATAAAAAAACACGACAGGCTCTGCCCTGTTACAGGTTTTAATTTGGATTTTATTTTTGTACCCAAATGATGTTTATTTTGCTTTTTGTAAGCTAAATTTGAACGATGTATGCAAGAATGTTTAAGGGAAAAAGGAGAGGGTCGTTTTTCGTCAGATCGGTGCGAGGGAATGTTCAATTCTGATTTATTTATCGCGGTGTCATGTGAGAGGGAGGAGCCGATGAGCTTCCCGTTGTAGCTCGTCATCACGGAGACTCGGAAGAGAGAGGGCCGACTGACTTTCCCTGAGGAATGCGGGTTGTGTTTGGACCCCTGTAAACTCCTAAAACGTGTCCCATCTACATCGACATTTCCATAGTGACTGTCCCATCATGCACAGTGCAAAAATAAAACCAGTATATGTGTGTGTGGCCATGCATTGAACAATAAAAAGAAACCCATAAGATGCTGACGTCTTTGTACTTATCGTTTCTCTGTGCTGCGTCACCTCCAGTCGCTTAATGTTTTTGTGGCTCTGGAGGGAAGCAGCTGCCTGTCTGTCCACTTGTTTCCCAATAAACTGATCAGAAATTATTCAGGTGTAATTCTAGTTTGTAGTCAGGTGATGTGATCAGGAGTTAACTTTAACTTGTTAACTTTCCTAACTTTCAACTTCAAATACACAAAAGGATCAGTACATGAGTAGATCTGGACTCAGTGGGCTGATGAGATTCTTTACAACACAGGAGGCAGCAACATCGATCACTATGGCAACATGAGAAATTATCATTTACAGTTTCCGATTCTCAAAAACAGAAATGTTGTTTTTCTTTATTTTACTTTCTGCCAAAAATAATAATAATCTCAGTTCAGGGTCAAATCATCATTTTACAGATCAGGATTCACCAACTGATTTTTTTTTCTCTCAATCAGATTCATCTTCAGTTTGCTCAAGAAGCAGGGAAACAAAAACAGTGAAACGATGGACGTGCAACACAACAGCAAATTGTATTCTACATTACACAATGTGTATTACATAATGCTGGTCTGGTCGGGCTGGCAGTAAATCCGTACCCCAGTACTTTGGGACTCCGGGTTTTCTGTTGAAGGTGTCACATTGAAAAAAAACTGTTCCGTTGATTTTCACCATTTTCTGAGAGATTAATCGATTTCAACACATTCAGCTGCAAACTCTAATCCTCAATCTAAAATCCTCACAGTGAACTTCACATAAACCCTCTCACCTCCTCACTGACGCCCCGTCTCTGCCTCTTCTATTAAACTAGGTCTCCATGTGCCATTCTTTCTCTCTCTCTCTCTCTCTCTCTCCTTTCCACCCCCCCCTCCATCATTTGTGTCCCCATGGCCACGAGCCCACCACTAGCCGACCGCACACAGAATAGCCAATCCCCTGGCAGCAGGGTCAGTGGATGGTTGGCACTTGTGCTGGGTAAGGGGGGTTGGGAAAACCTCACTGACCCAAGGACAATCCTCTTTCTGGGAGCCCGTGAAGCCGTGGGGCTGCAGGGACCTCGCAGTGGACGGACGGGGCTGCGGGGACAGGATGAGAGGTTTAAACTCAACCCACTAGTTTGTTTTGTAGTTTTCAAAAAGTGCCTGTGATCTGTGTGAGAAATGTCCATGCAGGGGTCTGTGCTGGCTGTGGGGAAATGCCTCGCCTGCTTGGAGTTTATGCGTGAGTAACTGTCTTTGGAGACTTCATCAGTTGCTCCTCTCGCTTAAAACCATCCACAAATGTCGACGCCACCCGTGTTTGCTCTCATGCTGATGATGCCTCGGCTCCTGCGGCCTCGCGGCCTCGCGGCCTCGTCCCTCAGCTGGGAAAAACAAGCTTTCTGCCACATCCAGTGGAGGAAGGTCTGGGCCCTCAGGGTGGGATTTCAACACTGGAGGATCCAGCAGTGTTTTTATTCGGTTACAGCAGGAATGTGCAGAGGAAGAAAGGAGGAGGAGAGGAGGGGGGGGGAGTAGATTGAGGAGGAGGAAGAGGAAAGAAAGAGGAGAGGAAGAATACAGGAGATGAGAGGAGAACAAATGAGAGGAGAGGAGAAGAAACAAGAGGGGGGGGGGGGGGGGGGGGGGGGGGGGGTTGTTTGGTGGGACAGGGAGAATGGGAAGTAAGAATGGAAGTTTGTTTTATTCCCAGCGGATGAAAAAATTGGATTTGCTTGAGTCGTGGTCTGCATTGATCTGATCGGACACGTGAAGCTGGAGGGTCGGGGCTCGTTTCTGTCGATGTGAGCTCAGCAGCAGTTTCTCATCACAATCACAACGACTGTTTCTCTTTCTAAGAACTGGAGGTTTCGGCAAAACCCCACTCCTCTTCCTCTTAAAGAGACCCCAGTGCTTTTACTCAGTAAGTCACTCCCACTTATGGGAACTGAATGTCCTGATGAATACTCAGGGAACATTAAATTCACGTTTCCTGATTTCAAAAGTTTAATAAACACGTCCATAAAAATAGAAGTTTGAACAAACGTCGTGTCCATGATTCTGTGTCCCCTTAAAAGACGTCAAATAAAATAAATACATGATCTATTTTATTCCTCTTTTAGTTTTTAAATTTTATATTTTTACTTTAACTCTGTCTCTTAATATTTGCGTCGTCGTCCACAGTAACAGTGTTGAAGTACTTTTCTCTGTTTTCTCTGTACTTCTCACATTTGCTTAAAGTTATACTTTCAAATTGAAATTTTACCTACAAACCATAAAATTAACTTATCACAATACAATGCAGGGAAATAAATACAGTATTTGATGTAAAACACATTCACCAACTATAGTGTGAAAATACTTTATAGTAATAGTCTTAAACGATGTTACTCTGCACGAGAAATACTTTAAATGGGACATTATTACATTTAACTGAAAATACTTTGGCTTCAGTTTTATATTTGAATGCAGGAACTTGTTATTAAATATTTGAACATCTTGATGTTGGAACAAGAAGAACTCAAACATGATGATCTCAAAGAGGCGGAGGAACACGTGACGTGACAGATGTGACGCAACCTGTGAAATATGTCCCCGTATCATGATTTGAGTGCTGCTGCTGAATTTAACACAAACTGTGGAATTCATAGTAATAATCCATTCGGATGGATTTAAGTGTTTTAATTTGCTTTCTGGAAACACGCCACTCAAAAACAAGTGACTCATTTTAACAAGAACATGGATTCATGAGAAGTTAACGACGACCATGTCAACAGAGTGTGGAAATATACCAGGAAGCAGAACGGGGCCGTGGAGGTCCCCGTAGTAAAAATACTTTGTGTGTGACGCTGCTCAGAGTTTGCATGAAAACAAACGAGGCCGTGTGCTCAGAAGTGATTGGACGGAAAGTTGTGTTGACACAAAAACAGGATGTCCTCTCTGGTTGGTGTTTGGACAAAGGCGCGTCCCCACAGGTTCACGTGAAGGCTCCGACTCCTGTGATTGTAGGAGTTATAGTCAACGGCAGCAGGACTTCCCGTGACCTTGGGGACATTTGAGTCAATCTGAGAAGCTGAATGATGTGAAGACACTTCCTCAGTGTAACCGCTGACGGTGGATGACATCATTTGTGGGTCAGTGAGGTCACCGCCGTCATGGGACGGGATGGTCCGAGGTTGTTTCGGCCTCGTTCCGCTCGTCAGCTCGATCCGACTCGTTTGTTCAGATTGAAATATCAACAACTGTTTGGTGGATTTTATGATCTTCATCGTTTCCAGTCTGTCTCGTCCTTTTTGACTTCTGTTGTCTTATTTTGTAATATTTCTTATTTCTTGTCATTTTGTGTTCTACGATCTAATTGGTGGTTTTTATTTTTTGTTGTTTTACGTAAAGAAAATTAACATAATATTGGTAAACTTTTCTATTTTTGGTCTCTTTTTTGTAGTTCTATGGTTTTTTTTCCATTGTGACTGTAAAACTTTATTTAAAATAAAAATCGGTCTCGTTTGAAGCTTCGGTTCGATTCGTCGAATAATCGTCGTGGGTCACGTGAGCAGCGGAGCGCGCGCGGAGCTGCAGATACACATGGCTCGTGTTGTTGTTGCTCCTCAGATCCACGTGAGCGCGAGCCGCGCTTCCTACTGGCTCGCGAGGGACAAGGGAAAGGGAGGACAGACACACACACAGACACAGACAGACACAGACACTGACAGTGAGCGCAGCAGCAGCAGGACATCAGGCCCAGACTCTCACGCCAAAGTGTTTTTAACGCGGACACAAGCGGAGGATTCCTGAAACCTCCGCATGCCGGAGGGTCGCGGTGAGTGCGGAGTGTTTTTATCGTGATTATCGTAAAAACAGGAGATGCGGTTTTCTTTCCGTCGCCGCTTCGCGGAGGTTGTAGTTCTGCAGCTTCGACTCTTCGCCTCTTTCTCTGTCTTCACGTGTGAACTTCGTGTCCTCGTGAATTCCTGCACAGGCAGATTTTAATAGTAGAGGAAACACATGTGTGGGGGGGGGTAGAAAGACTTGAAGGATCGAGTCAGGAAACTCTCGTCGTTCTGAGAATGAACAACATGTGACCAGCGTGTTTGTTCCTGAGCTGTTGCTCTGGAGACTTTTCCAGCTCCGGCTGTTTGGACGGGTTTTGTCCACATGGATTTTAAAACTCGTCTTTCACTTGTTACAGTTCACATGTAGAAGAGAGAGTGTGAACACTGAGCAGAGATGGAAGGATGGAAGGATGGAAAGATAGATAGATATATAGATGGATGGATGGATGGATGGATGGAAAGATAGATAGATATATAGATGGATGGATGGATGGATGGATGGAAAGATAGATAGATATATAGATGGATGGATGGAAAGATAGATAGATATATAGATGGATGGATGGATGGATGGATTGACGTTGAAGAAAATCATGGAGGTAACTTTTAATCAAGTGTTTTTAATTTGCTTTTTTAAAATGAGTGACTGATTTTTGACAAGAACAAGAGCATCAACTCCAAATGTAGATAAAGATCCTGTGTTGATCCCAGTGGATAATTTAGGCCTTACATGAAAAAAACATGTGATAAATTAAAGGAGGGAACGTAAAAGTAAAAGGCTGGAAAGGTCAACACTTTATCAGGAATATAGAAGAGAAATATTTAGCTTGATAATCCATATCAGGCCTATTGCACACACTTCTCTCAGTTTGTACGAATGCGAACCTGTCAAATGTAATTTCTTTGCTTGCAGGTGATTTGAAACAGATCTCGTGTGCGGCAGGAGACGATGAGGTATTCAGGGAGGATGACAAACACGACAGGACGGGGGGTTGGTCTGCACAACCCCACCCAGCCTGTTCAGTCAGTTCTGTCGTTTTGTCTCATGTTCGTCAGCATTGACTTAAAGCTAGTTTCTGTTTGACATCGGGTTCCTTTTATTTGTCTAAATGTGTCGACAGTCTCACACACACACATTCTCACACACACACACACACACACACACACACACACACACACACACACACACACTCACACACACACACACTCCAATCCTGAGCAGTTTGAAACTTACACACTATTCAGGAAGGGGGTGGGGGTGTGGGGAGGAGGACACCTTTGACAAAAACATTCCACAGTGACCTCGGACTTAAAGCAAACAGAAGTTTAGGTTTTGTTTTTGAACTTTAGGATTTTGTTAGTGTGTGTGCAGAAGTGTCAAATACTCAGAAACTGTGTTTGTGATGTGTGACGGGACAGTGACGATGCAAATGCAAGGGTTATTTTTATTATGAGGGTTAATTTGTCAAATTAATAATAAAAATTACATTTCTGAAAATGGTGAGAAAGTTACAAGGTGACAAATAATCTTATTTTCCATAATGATGAACTGATCAATTGAGGAAATGATGGTCAGTAATTAATCAGAATTAAAATCACATTTCAGAAGCTGCAGGTGAAGAATAGTTTGTGTTTACGTGATTAAATGAATCAAATCTTAATGGTTCAGAAATGAGATTGACGTGAACTGAATATTTATGTGCATTCGTGTTTTTGTATCAGATATTTCCAGTGACCGTCAGAACGTGACAGGAGCAGACTCACTGCTCAGCTCTGACGTTCAGGGATGTGTCGAAATGAGCCGGAGACGTCTGAAGCTTTGAGTTTTATTTGTTTTATTCGTGAAAAAACGGATCCTGTCTGTTGCTCTAGATCCAAACTTGTGGATTTATCTTGTTCTGTCTCCACGTGGTGGAGAAAGAGAAACTGGGAAAACACTCCCAGATCAAGGAGATGCTTTTATTACGATCAACCATAAAGAATAATCACAAATAATCTTAGTGGAAGGGTTTTTCTCGGTGCATCAACCGAACAGGGAGCTGACCGGTCGTGCTTTCGGTGTTTATCTCTCATGCAAATGTTTCAGCAGGACAGGAATGTTCTGCAGAATTAGGCGAGTCGGGCATATTTGCAGCACAGGGCACGTCTGTCAGACTGTGTGGGCAACATGCTCCGTGCACAGCTTTCTTATTGTCAGCCTCTGGCCAATAAATACGTCCATTGAGAAAGGTCACGTGTGGCGACATCACAAGCGAGGGTCAAGAATTTCAGCGATCAGGAGAACAAAACATAAAGAGGAAGGACGTGTTGAGTAAACCCAGAATTGAGACAGGATTGACAGGTGACAACGGATGTCTGGTGGTTCTGTGGTCACGTGAGCGGATGAAATATCGTGCGTGTAATTACTTTCATTTCTCCCCGAGACCGCTGAGTATTTGCCCTTTTGATAAATGTGACTATGAAAAATGGGAAAACACACATTGGCCTAGAAATGATAAAATACACGAGAAGTTCTTGAGTCACTTCTACAAACACCTTCCTCTTCTCCGGACTCAGCCAAGACGGGAGGAGCAGCTTCATTTCGTTTTCATCTCCGGGAAAACAGGCGTCTCCTAATCGTGCATGTTCTTTTTGGAGAGAGATTTGATTAACCACTTTCATAGAGGGGAAGTTTTAATTTGATGTGTGTGTGTGTGTGTGGGTGTTTTTTAGTCTTTGGCTCGTGCACGGTTGTGTGATGCTACATATCAGTGCAGCAGCGTCATGGGATCATTGAGGCTCATTGGCAACTTATTTTGAAAAGTCCCAGGCTTCGTCCCGCCTCACATGCTGCACTGTGGGCTGAGTCTTCTTGTCTTGAGTCGAGTCCTGATGCAGGTTGTCTGACTCAAACGTCTCTCCACTGATTTACTTGCGTTTTTCTTGGTCTGAGCTGTAAAAAGATGAGCAGCGTGTGGAGCTGAGGTTTTTTTTCTTTGCTCCTGACTCTCCGGTTAAATCTCGTGTTTGAAGTTGAGGACACAACTCGTCCTCTCGGGGCGTCTGTTGCGAACACTCCTGCCTGTGTGTGTCTGAAGTGAAATGGGGGTTTCGTCCAAATGTAGAGCGCGCTCAGCGTCTTTGTCACACGATTGTTGCTCGTGTAGTTGGACAGCGTGACAGGACACACTGACATACTTCCTCTGGGTCACCAGGCTCTGCGGAGCTGAAGTGCACAGACGTCTCTTTATGTCGCTGCTGAGGAGCAGAGGCTTTGTCCTCTCTCTCTCTCTCTCTCTCTCTCTACATATCCATACATGAATAATATATATTTGCATGCATAGAGGTAACATTCAGATCAGTCACGGCTCACAGTTTGCAAGAAACACGCCTCAAAATTAACTGTTCAACCACATGATGCAAATGATCTGAATTCAGATCAGCTTTTTTTTTTTTTTTTTTTCACACTGCAGTGAACCCTGTGGCTTTTTCCTTTCTATTGTCATCAACACAATCTTGTGCTGTGTGCACTGTCGCTTTTGTCTTCCAGTCGTGATGAAAGCAGGATTTGTACCAGTGTGCATGCATGTTAGTGCACTGAGAGCTTGTGCATGTTCTCAGTGGCAGAACTGTGTGTGTGTCTGTGTGTGTGTGTGTGTGTGTGTGTGTGTGTGAGGCGCCTCATTTCCATCCAGCACGGTGTCATCCCCTGGCCCCTGTGCTCTCAAGGCCTCCGTCTCCACAAAGCTCACTCTGTCACAGCGAACAGGCCGGGGCCTGCAGCTGGGTCGCAGTAAGTGGGGGCTGCCGCTTGTTGTTCCTACTCAGCCGGAGAGGGGCCCCTCAAGGTATGAGCTGCAGGGGGGGTGGGGGGGGGGGCAGGTCGTCAGGAAATGTTTTATCCCGTCAGCTCTGAGGAGACAGATGCACGGAGATGAGTCCATGCAAATAAAACACATCTGGGTTCCATTGGAACATCTTAGTGATCGGTTTCTTCAGTATGTGTTAATGTATTGAACTTTATTCAACATCAGGTTGATGACATCGATCAGGTTGTGTCTCACATTGAATCTTAAATTCAGAGGGATGGGTTGGTGTGTGTGTGTGTGTGTAGAAATGAATATGAGCCAATGTCCACGTCCTTCCGAGGACTCTGAAGACAGACTAGGTTGCACAGGACAAACTGAAATGAGGCGGTCTGGTCTGCGGAGGATTTCCTGTTTACATCACCAGCCTCTCCTGCTCTTACTGTTGCATCATTTAATGCTTTGAGCCATTGCACTTAACTGCAACCTACATCACTGGCTCGATCGCTCCGTCACTGGCATGCAAGGAATCCTGGGATAGTTTTGGCCCGAGAAGGAATCGACTCTGGTTTGTTGTGTCGCTCAGGGATGGGAGGACGCTGCGTGTCAGCGAGTCTTAGGAATGGAACACACTCGCTCTAATTGATTTCAACCGTACACACCGACATCTGGCTCCGCGCTCGACTGCAGGAGTCCAGAGTTGATGAGTAATATTGTCCAGGTTCAGTTTGGCTGTAGAGTTTAAAACATCTCGTGGTGAAAGAAACATTTCTCTCTGAGGATGTTTCCCTTCTGCTGTCTGCAGAATGAATGCTGCTGTAATATTGACTCACACAAACAAGTTATCACTCTCGCTTTCTGTCACAGGCAGCGGGACAATGCGTGGCATTCTTCAGACTGATGTCTGGGTGCGTCTCAATAGGAGATTGTTCTCAGTGTCAGCTCCAGTCAACAAAGACTTCACACTTGAGACATCGGTCAAATATTTCATCGTATATAATAGTTTCATTTTTATATTTCATTTGGAATGTTTACTTATTTAATCCATTATTTTACTGGTGCGTCTTATTTTTATTACAGCAAATTATCTTTTAACATTTTTGTCCTGTGATCCTCATCTCAAACGTTATTGTCATTTCCCGCTATGCACCCGACATGGACTGAAATACCGTTTCTCTCTGATCCCCGGTGTAAACGTATAAGTAGACGGAATATATAAGTACGCAACATATACAAGTACTCAGAACACAGAAGTGCAAAGGCCCACGGTGGATAGGATGAGAGTCGGGCAAACAGGAAAAGTGCAAAGTTTGAACCTGGACCTCATCGTCCCGAGATCTGATACCGTCATGACGTCATCATGTCACATGGAAAACGAAGTCAGTTCATTAAGGAAGCAGAGAGATTGAGATTCTTTCGTTACAAGTTGTTTTGTTCTTCATTAAATAAATAACCCGTGAAGTCACACGCAGTGTTTGCAGAATTCTTCATGGCTTAAAGGTTGTATAACATCATTTTTTTTTCCACTAGCACAATTGTATTTGCTTCATCAGCCACTGTCTCGTCCTTTGTCTCAGCTCTGCGTTTCTTATATGAGTCCAATAAAGTTACTCTGTGCAGCGGAGAACCAAAATAAACAACATCCAGTGTGTGTGTGTGTGTGTGTGTGTGTGTGTGTGTGTGGCCCACAGACAGTTTCTGGTTTATCACTGTGGTGTGTTCACAGCGTGCGTTTGCTCCAAAGATGAAAATTAAATCAAAAATATCCTGGATGTGAACGCTGCCATCCTGCGCACATGGAGCCAGAGTCTGTACAACAGCTCTGAGGGGATGGAGCAACGAGCTCCCAGTTTGCCCAATCCTCGGAAAACTTTTTAGTTTGTCCGTGTCCCATCTATTAACATGGAGGAGTTGGGATTTATGACCTTTTGCAGCCAAAGATTGAGGCGCTTTACTTTTCCGGGAGCCACATGTCTTCCATCTCTGGTCCACACGTGTGTAGAAATGTTTGCTGCTGCTGCTGTTTTAATGTTTCCTTCACGTGTCCTCAGTGTTTCCCGTGTGGCGGGGGATCGGGGCCAGTATTGGCGTCGGAGGTGGGTGGAGCCAGGGCTGGGGGCGCTGCCTGCGATGGGAGCCCGACAGTCCAGGACAGGGCGCCCGGGTCCCCGTGTATGACTACCCCGTCTGGTTGGTCCTGTGCCGGGGGGGCCGAGCCAGACTCCAGGAGGTTTGTCAGAGAGGGAGGGGGGCGATCAGACTGCCCACAGACATGCTCAGCATCAAACTCCCCCAACTCTTCAACATCCACCAGGTCCCAAAGGTGAAGACGGAACACAGCTCCACAACATGAACGCATGAAACTAAATCCACTCTAAGTTTGAGTCAACTCTGGAAATACAGAATCACTGTGAACTCCATTAATTAGCAATTAACCAATTAACCAATCAACTAATTACGTTTGTTACTGTTTCATTGATTAAAAAAAACTGGACTGAATTCTTCCCCTGGAGGATTAATAGAGTTGTAGTTGTTCACCTGGACCGTCTGTCCCTGTTGGTCCTCAGGTGTTCAGAGAGGACAGCATCATCTCCGGGTACCGTCACCCCTGCAGCTCGGCGCTGGACTGCGTCCTCAGCAGCTTCCAGATGAACAACGAGACGATCAACATCTGGACCCACTTCTTGCCAACATGGTGCGTAAGAAATCCCCACTAACCTCACTCACTAAGGTTTTGAAAAGTTAGAAGTTTTGCTTTACGTGAGAAGATTTCAGGTTTCAGGAAAACAAGAAAAACTTCTCAATCTAGTTTTTACGTCTCCTCCCTCATGCTTCTCTCTGAAGCTCGAGTCTGCACAGGGACAGCCAGTCAATCTCTTTTCTGATTGACTGGCAAATTTATTAAATTCATTTAATCATGTGTTGTTAATTTACAATTAAAACTCATGGCGACAGAACAGTTGTGCAGTGGGTCTCACTTTGTACAATGTGGGACCTTTAAAATGTTCTGTAACTCTCATCCCGTCACACGAAACCTTAAATGCGTCTTATCTCTACAAACCACGTAACTTTACAAAAACAACTTTAATTTTAAAAAAAAGCATCTGTGTTTAGCATCTGTGACGTAAAATCCCTTAAGTTCCTCAGCAGCGCAGGAGGAAACAAAAATCAACTGCTGGATGAAACGTGTTTCTAAGATTTCCAGGCAGGATCCTCCCAAAAAAATGACATAAGCCGGGATTTAAATTCACACGAGACAAGTCCAGGATGTGAGAAAAGTCAAAGCACAACAGCCGAGAGCGGCGCGGGACGGCCGCTGTCATGGAGACGACGCTCCGAGCCGAACAGATTATTACCCAGGAAAAAGACAAAGCTGTGTTTGTGTGGCAGGTATTTCCTGTGGCGTTTCTGCGTCCTCTGCTCCACTCTGAACTTCCTGACCGACAGCTACACCTGGCCCCTGCTGGTGTACATGGTGCTCATCTGCATTTACCCCTTCACCTCCAGCTGCGCCCACACCTTCAGCACCATGTCCCCGGAGTCCCGCCACATCTGCTACTTCTTCGACTACGGAGCGCTCAGCCTCTACAGCCTCGGTAAGACGCGAGGCAGACATGTTGAGGTTTTGTTTCTGCAGAACGGGAGCGTTGGTGGTGACTGGAGCAAGGCAGAGCACCACGCTCACATAGTTTAAATTATTCTCAAACACTTTTGATAAAGAAATGTAATTGAGGTTTGATGTTTCACAGTTTAGACACGAATAAATCCAAATAAATTCAACTTTAAGAAAAGAAACTTGTGCAAATTGTAGAACTGTGCATTGTTTTCACACTGATGTCTGTGAAACATCAGTCGATATCATCGTCCACCGATGAATCAGAGGAATCTAAAACTCGACCAGAAGCGAAAGCGCTTTAAATAAGATGAAATCTGCTTTTTTAATGAGGCTGTTTGTAGAAATCCTTGTTTTCAAGGACACTGAGATTTTTAAAGGAAGTCAAGTCCTCCTGTAATATTTAGTTTGCGTGACAAAGGACACAAGTGGTATTGTTTTGCCTGTTTGCCTTCTCAGCCCGCTGTGGTTGTCAGCTGGATGTCTGATTTCCATATTCTCTTGAGAAATTATTTGTTTCCTGGCTTCTCTACGCCCCAGAAAGTGTTTGTTTGGCTTCACAACCGTTTCTCCTCTGAGTAATATCTCCCCGTCAGAGATTTTGATAAAGAGAATAAACAAAAGACACATTTTTACAGGAATTCAGAGCGTGTTGCACAAGTGCTCTTTTGGAAAAACTTGTTTTTCCTGCAGCTGCTGGCCGTCCACTTTCACGTGCATGCAGATTCATTTCATTAGCACTGAACTTTATTTAATCTTTAAACACAATGCATCGCTGTTTTTCCGTTCGCAGTTGCATTTCAGGTTAGTGTGCATTCGTCGTGATGTCAGTGCTTATGACCCTCCTGCAACCGAGGGCCTCTTTAAAAGAACGTGGCTCCAGTCTGAATCTCTCTGGGTGCCGAGATTTGTCTTGTTTAAAATGTTTAATAGTGTTTGTTTGGATCAGAGCTGCGGCAGTGTGAGAATAATAAAAGTATTAGAAACATTTCAAGGCCGAGGGAATTCATGTGAAACACACAGTCCTGCAGATCCTCTGTCGAGAGGAAGACAACCTTTAATTTATGGAACTTCACCCTGAGCAGTTTATCTCACACAAATCATGTAAAACTCTGTTTAAAGGGTAGAATTTGGACCTTTCGTGCTTGAGCGACCCCTGGTGGCTGAGTCAGAAACAACACTGCAAGTAGAGTAAAAATCTGCAGGTTGTGGCTTTAAATACTCAAATTA